GACAGATTCTTGGCTTCCTTCCTACCCTGTACACTAAAGGACTTAAACCATCCTTTATCAAGTAATATCTGGCAGTGATCATCATTCTACCTACTGTTCATTCCGCCTGTTGATCAGAGACCTATATGTTAACATCTGGGGTGTGGGCGGTGGACTAGTGGATGGGAGTAGTGGGACCTGGGCAACCAGGGTGCAGCACAAGGGCCAGTCAAGAGGCACAGTCGAAAATAGTCCAAAGATCAGAGAACCGAGAAGACGAGCTGAGGGAAACGGGTACCTTGAGGACTGGAGCAAGGCAGGAGTGACTGGAGCAGAGCTGGGGCTAGCCTGGAACAAGGCTGAGCAGAGCTGAAGCAAGGCTGGGGTGACTGGAGCAGAGCTGGCACAAGACTGGAGAAACTGTGGCAAGACTGAAGCAAGACCAGAGCAGGGCTAGAACAAGGCTGGGGCAACCGGAGCAAGACCAGAGCAGCACTGGGGCAAGGCTGGAGTGATTGGAGCAAGACTGGAGCAGTGCTGGAACAAGGGTGGGGGTGACTGGAGCAAGACCAGAACAGCACTGGAGCGAGGCTAGGGGTGGCTGGAGTAAGGGCAGAGCAGCACTGGGGCAAGGCTGGGGCATGAGGGAGTCAGAAGACCTTCATTGTTGAGGCAGCTTCTGGGGGGAAGAGCCAGTGCTCCTGGTTCTGTAGGATCTTATGAAATTGACCTTCACACTACTGGCGACCATGGATCTCAGACTTAAGTATTGAAGGTGGCATTCCACGTGTTCATCATAGCCAGGTGGGCTGCATCCTGCACATTGACCAGCCATTCTGGATTTTTCAAAAAGACAAGGTGGTCCTGTGCTTGGACCCTTTCATCTTCTCCAAGGTGGTTTCACCATTTCACCTTAACTTGGACATTGTTCTGCCAGCCTTCTTCCCAGTGTAATCAAACCTGATGGAATTCACCCTGAACACCCTGGATGTGCGCAGATGGTTGCCTTCTATTGGTCCCCTACCAAGTCCTTTCAATGGTCCCAGAGATTGTGTGTCTGTTACGGTGAGCAATCCAGGGGTGAGCTTGTTAACTCCCAGTGACTCATCCATGTGGTGGTCAAGATCATCATGCTTGCCTACCAGTTTGCAGGACTGCAGACTCCAGAGCACACTCAACCAGGCAATGGCAACCTCTACAGTACTGCATGGAGGCAGGACTTCTGCAAGGTGGTGACACAGTCCACCCCAATGACTTTCATCTGGCACTACTGGCTTGACATCTGCACCAGGCAAGACTGTTCCTTTGACAGAGTGTCTTTTGTATGATCCACAGTCCTTCACTGATAGTACCTTCTCTTCCAACTTGAGGTAAACTTGCTAATTGCCCATATATGTGATTCATAGAGACCATGAAGAAGAAAGTCAAGTTGCTTACCTGTGACTTAATTCTTCAAGTGATCATCAGTGCATTTATACAGCCTACCCAGCAGCCTCATGTCTGTGGCATCCAGCTTCAGTCCTGTGAATTCTCCATGATCCCGTGTCCTCCTGGTATGGGGTCAGCCATTCACTAAACCCCTTTTAGTTCTGAGGCCACAGTGTCAGTCTCAATGGAACTAAGGAAAGGAGCAGGAACTCCCCCTACATATACTAGGGTGTGGGAGGGGAGAATGAATCTAACTTGGAATCTGCCTAACAACAGGCCACACACGGTGCAGAGAATGTTTGAATGTACAGGTACACTCAAAGAGTGACAGTTACAGGTAAGTAAACCTAGCTTTGCCATGCACTTGTTGCCTGAAAGAGATATACTAGTAGAGATAGACAAGATTTCTCAAGCAGGTTTCCTGGAAAAGATTGAAGACCTTGAAAAAATTACCTGAGTTAAATGGAGGTCTTGGAGCTAAATCCTACAACATTCTACCACATTGCCTTACGTTTTGTGCATCTTGTTTTGTTCCTTATGGAATCATCTTGATAAAATTTTAGTACAGATTACTAATAATATGTTAATAATTTATGTGGCAGTAATGAAAGTTAAAAGAATTTTAAAAAGGGTATGCAAATTCATGGAATTCACATGACTTAAAAAATTCAGGTCCACTGTTGAATCTGCAGATTTTTCTGATGTCCATTAGTGGGAAGGAAGTGCCTGGGAGGAAGAGGCTGGAACAAATTGGATTTCTAGGGCTATGGAAGGTTCAGAACCTGCATGCCTCTCCTGTGCACACTCTTCATATGTTGAAGGGAGATTGCATTTGAAGAATCTACAGTTATAGCATTTAGAGATCTCTCAATAATTCAGAGATGGAACTGTGTTGCTGATATTTATGTTGAGCTACTTGGACTATGAGAAAGGACCATCATACAAAAGACAAGCATCTCTTCAACTTTCAGATAATCGGTCCTCTCATCCTTTTCAATAGCTTATGAGTCATTTCCTGCACCTTCCCTCATTATATATGATGGGGCAGATTCATCTTGAAAAGGAAAATAACCTGGAGAAGCATTGTGTGTACTTGCAGGCATAACTGACTTGTATAGCTCTGCTCTTTATGTGTTCATGTTGTTCTTGCACTTTGCTGTAGGCAACTAGAACATCATCACTTTTTTCAGGGGCCATATGTAATCATAGGGTTATACAGTGGTTATCACTGATTTGATAATATTTGCTCAGAATATGTAAATTGACAAGTTTTAATTGAGATGAGCCTGGTAGCACCTGAATTGTTCTTCTTGAACTTAAATGCAAGCCAGGGAAGAATTTCTTTCTACTCACGTTCATCCTGGAGATTTCCCTTTCCTTCCCTGGTATCTACAATCCTATTGTTGCAATAGGTAAGGATGTAGTTTTTTTCTATATCTTAGCAGGACCATGTAGGAATGGTAGAATCATGGCTACCTTTGTCTCAGCATATGAGTGATGTTGGTTAACAGTGCTAAAGCATTTCAGCATTGGAAGCTTGTACCCGGATTTTACATCTCAGTATGCAGGATTAGGATGTAGGAACTGTGGGTGGCACAGTGGTTTACACTGCTGAGCTGCTGGGCTGGTTTTTCAAAAGGTCGACAGTTTGAATCCGCAGATGGGGTGAGCTCCCATGCTTCGATCCAGCTCCTGCCAACCTTGCAGTTCGAAAGCATACAAATGCAAGTAGATAAAAAGGTACCACTTTGGTGGGAAGGTAACAGTGTGCTGGCCACATGACCACAGAAACTGTCTGTGGACAAATGCTGGCTCCCTTGGCTAAGAAATGAGCACCGCCCCCTAGAGTCAGACATGACCTGACTTTAATGTCATGGGAAAACCTTTACCTTGACCTTTACGCAGGATTAGAGTGCTACATACAGAGAAGAAGGTTATCACAATTAAAAAAATAACAATTTTAATGCAGTGTTCTACATTGTTACTACAGTGCAGGGGTAGCCAGATTTGCCTGACAGAAGAGCCAAATATGGTAAATCTCAAATGTTTGAGAGCTCCAGGACAGAAACAGATATTTATTATTATTATTTCTTTATTACGACCAAACAGACATTGCTACAACTATCAGGCTAGTTATTGCTAGTTAGGGTAGATTTAAATCAAATCAGTTTAAATCACAATTTAAATCACTAGTCAGTGAACTAGATTTAAATGGTTTTCTACATAATTTGCATGCCTGCCTGCTTTACCACACAGGGAAGGAATGATATGATAAATATCAGGCTATCCAAAGACTTGTGGAGTATTATTCTTCAAAGGTTTCACTTTCATTTTTACTGCTTGTCCTGCACCTCAAACTTAGCTTCTTGTGCAGAACTATTTCACTTCCAACAATCTCCTTCTGTTCACTGAATTTTTGAAATTTAGCACTAAAGAGATAAGGGGTTGGTTCTGTGTACATAGATTAGCAAAGGAACAATGGGACTAAGATTTTTGCAACCATGTGTGTCCATTTTATAAATTTTTGCTGTGAATAATAGGCATGGGATCTGACAAATTCAGTTTTGAGAACAGTAAAACCAATAATATGTGATAGTATCTTCTAGTTAGAAAAAGTGTCTAGTAGTCTTACAGAAACCTTTGGAATTGCATAAAATTGTGACTGAGTTAATGGAATTTATTTACCAAAAAAATTAAAAATTGCATGAATATACAGCCTCATGCTACATAATTAAAAACTAAACCCATTTATTATTTATTTAAAGCTTTTCTAACCCATCAGCTTACAAAAATTTCACTATGAATAACCTTTGGACTATAATGTATCTTAAACAGAAGACTATCTTTAGATAGATTTTTCCTCAAAAAGCATTTTATTTTAAAATATCCAATTTAAATTTAAAAAATCTCATATTTATTTTTAAAATCATTGTTTTATCCATCCTGCTGCTAGTAGAGGTCTTGTGAATCTCCATCTAGACCATGATTTGTTGAAACCAGTGGTCCCCATGGTTATACAACTCACCATAATGTAGGATTGGTGGGAGCCCTGAGCTTGTTTACCTGCATCTACACACAGCTTAATTGTCACTTGTCACTCACTGCTAGGGTTTTGATACGAGTCTGCAAGCAATTGATTTATTATGGTCTCTGTGCAGTCAAACCTCTCTGAGTGATCTGTATTTGCAGCTGCTTCCCAGCTAGCATCATCTCCTCAGATCATCAGGCATTATGAGATTCTCATAAGCAGCATGCAACCTAGATCCTTCATGTGTGCAGTTCACAGTAGGGTTCACACTCCTAGAAGTGAAAAAGGGTAAAAATGCAAAGAGCAATTAAAATCATTCCTGGTAGATACATGATGTGTCAGGCTATCTGGACTTAATTTGTATTCCCAGGAATAGTAATAAATCCCATTGAGTTATATTTTAATATTTTTCTTTTAGTAATTGGCCAAATTTCTTTATGTTATAAACCCAGGTACTGTTTTTGTCATTTGTTAGAACTGTATGCCTATCCAATTTGTATTTCACCTCTCTTGTGTTCCTTTCTGTCTCTTCTTTCTTGTATCTGAAACCGTGTACCTCAAACAGTTTCTGCTGAGTTACTCCAAGAGCAGTCTACTACTTCTACAAGTGATAATATACTGACAGAAGATCAACTCACATCTACTCCTTTAAATTTAGCATATCTGAAAGAGCAGGTAAAAGGATTTTCCTCTTACATAGAAAGCTGAGACGTCGTGTTCAGCCCTATAACTGCTTTTTTAGCTTATAGAAGCTTACATGAGTTAACATATTTTCATAGCCTGAAGTCACAACTAACATTAGGCAGATGGAGCCACCCTTTTCAAATGCGAATCAATACCACTCTGCCCTAACTTATTCTAATATGTTTGCTGTTTTATGTACATATATGCATATAACAGTATATCATAAGGAGGCAAGATTCACTGGAGAAGGCAATAATGCTAAGGAATGTCAAGGGCAGAAAAAGAGGAAGAACAGCTATGAGATGTATTGATTCCTTAAAGGAAGCCACAGCCCTGAGTTTGCAAGAGCTGAGCAGGACTGTCAAGGATTTTTTTATTTTTTTATTGTTGTTGTGAACCATCCCGAGACATCCCGAGGTATGCAAAAGTTTTAAATAAAAATAAATACAGAAATAGTACATTTCAGAGGGCAAAGGGTTGCCATAAGTTGGAAAAGACTTGACAGCATAGAACAACAGTGATGGTTCTCCGTCATGGCCTCTGTGCATCACACATATGGGTACTGTGCCTGCACAGTGCCTGTAGCCAGGAAGATTCAAAAGCTTAACTGTCCTGGTGGGAACTCCGCCCCCCCCCGCCCCCATAGTATAAGAAGGTGGAGTGCCCACCATTTCCCCAGTCTTCTTTCGACCACCGTTCGCTGTGCCTCGAGCCTTTCATCTCTTACTCTTTTCACTGTACTTTGCTATCCTCTATTCTTTTTGCTCAATGGCTCAACATACGGCTTTCTGCAAGTGTTCTCAGTGTGGGGCCAAGATGTCCCCCACTGATCCACATGATCTGTGCCTTCTCTATCTGGGAGAAGGCCACAGAATTGATAAGTGCGGCCATTGTCAGGCATTCAAGCAGGCGTGTAAAAACTGTGAAAACCACCTGCATAAGTTACTTTGGGACCAGGCTCTGCTCACATCCAACCAACTTGGGACCCAGCCTGCTTCGCAGCCTTCTTCCTTGGCTGCTGCTTCCTCTAGTCCATTGGCTAATGGAGTGGCTTTGCTGGAGGCCAAACGCTTCTCTTGCTCTCCTTGCAAGCAAAAGGAGAAGAGGAAGCATAGTGGCTCTGATATGTCCTTGGTCCATAAGAAGGCCAAGAAAAACAGGGTGGACAAGGCGGCCTGTAAGCTGAAGAAGGCTGACCAGCTGCATTGCAGAGACTTGGGATTGTCCGCTCCATCAGTCCCGACCGCAGCATCGATGCCAACACCAACCAGTCCTACCCTTCAGCTGGCCATGAAGGTGACCCTTACAATGCTGCGCCAGGCCATCACGGAGTCCTGGCAGTTCCCCAGCCAGGCGCAACCCACTTCATGGCGATATGAGTCGATGTACAGAGTACGGGGGCAGGATATTCCGTTCCTCCTGTGTCATTCTAAGCCTAACTCCATTGTCATGGAGTTGTCTCAGGGCCACAAGACCAAGGAGCACTCCACTCCTCGAGACAAGGAAGGGCAAAAAGTTGACATGATGGTGCGCTGTATCTAAGCTACCACATCTTGGCCTTGGCCTTCATATCTCCAACTATGAGGCAACACTAGCAAAATATCAATACTTCTTGATGCAGAAGTTGGAGAACATCACAGTGTCGCTTCCAGAGCAGCAGAGAGAACTGGCATGTGTCTTTACCCGAGAAGCAATGTAGATGGCCATCCAACAACTCTCTACGGCAAGGCATCTTGTTGACTGTGACTCGAGGGCCCTTGTTGGCGCTGTAGTCCTCCGTTGCCACGTCTAGCTCAGGAACTGCAACTTTCTGGATGAGACCAAGTGGAGGATTGAGAACATGCCCTTCCAGGCTGTTCAACGGGAAGACAGACCACAAGTTGAAGAATATCCATGAGACTCGCATCACTGCTTGACACATGAAAGTTCCTGCTCAATCTCGATATAAGTGGTCCTGGTCTCGTCTGCAGTATCAGTACCAACCATACCCGCAATATTCTGGCTGGCAGCAGTTCCAGACCTATCAACAGCGCAACCGCAAACAGCCAGCTCAGTGCTACCAGCAAAGCCGTAGCCGCCCCGATTCTGACAAGCGGCAATGTTGACGGGTTGAGCGAACCTCTCTCTCTTCCTAAATCCACCTTCCCCTCTTCCTTTTGGGGATCAACTGCAGAGTAGACTCCCCATTTGGGACTCCATCACATCTGATCGGTGGGTTTTGTCCGTTGTGGAGCACGGATATAAAATCAAGTTTGATACCGTACCCCCTTTGGGATTGATCTGATATACGCCTCCTCCTTCGTTTCTCAAGGATGAAGTTTTCCCAGCTGCTTCGTAAAGGAGCTATTTGACAACTCATGTGCTCTGAGGGGCTTCACGGTTTCTACTCAAGATATTTTATGGTCCCAAAACTGGATGGTGGTCTGCGCCCGATATTGGATCTATGTGGCATCAACAAGTTCATCAAAACAAAACAAAATGTTCACCCTTCAAAATATCCTTCCACTGCTCAGGCGAGAGGATTGGTTTGCATCTCTGGACTTGAAGGATGCTTACTTCCACATTAGCATCCATCCGTCTCACAGGTAGCTGCTCTGTTTTACAGTCAGCTCTGACCTTTTTGAGTATAATGTTTTCCCCTTCAGGCTTGCTACCGCACCAAGGGTCTTCACAAAATGCGTAGTTTGAGGAGCCATGCTCTAATGGTTCCATGGACAGACAGATTTTTCTATGTGCTTCCCCCGATACTGCTAAGTACATGGACTGTAGCCAAAATCAATCAGGATGATGCTCGTGGGATCCTCGTCACTTCTTGGTGGCCTCATCATCCGTGGTTCCCCACCATACTTCATCTCTCCAACAACACCTTTCAGTGGCTTCCTCAAATTCCACATCTTTTAACTCAACAAGATGGTGCAGTTCGGCATCCAAACCTTCATTCGTTGAATCTGACGCCCTGACTCATCCGATGAGCTCTACTACTTCATCGATACCGACAGCCTGGTTGGATTAGATGCCGACCTGGCAGCTCCCTGCCACAGCTGTACCTTTGTCACCGGTAGCGCGAAATGACTCTTTATCGAATCCGAGTGCTCTACATCCCGGCATCAGTCTGCACCAAGATGTGCTACTCACCGTTCTTATGTGGCTAAATGGAGCCGTTTTACTTCGTTTGCTGATATCTACCATTTTGTCTCTCAGTTAGCTTCCATTGAGAATATTCTCCAACTTTTACTGTTTTTACACCAGACTGGACTGAAACCTTCAATTAAAATTTACATTGCAGCTATTTCGCATTGCTGTGGCCTGGTTGCGGGTTCATCGGTGTTCTCCTGTGTCCTTATTTGGCATTTCTTGAGAGGATTACAGAATCTCCACCTACCGGTGTGATCAGTCATTCCTACATAGAGCCTTTTCATCATTCTAAGCTCACTAAGCCTCCTTTTGAGCATTTAGCTACTACCGACTTGCATCTACTGTCTTGGAAGATGATTTTCCTTGTAGCCATCACAGCTAAGAGAGCTAATGAACTTTGTGCTCTTCGTATCGACCCTCCATACCTCAACTTCCACGAGGATAAAGTTGTTCTCCTCACTGACCCCGCTTTCCTGCCAAAGGTTGTTTCACTGTTGCATGTTAATCAGGACATTTTCTTACCGGCTTTCTTTTCTATGCCTTTGACTCCAGTAGAGTGCTCACTCTATGTTTGTCACTGCCTAGCTTTCTATCGATCCTGAACTGAGTCTTTTAGGAATATGAAATGCCTCTTCATCAAATATTCTGTGCATGACAAGGGCTCCCCTATTGGGTCTTAAAGGCTCTCTAAATGGATTGTCCGAACCATTGAGCTTTCTGATCAGCTCTCCAAGTTAGAGCTGCCTGTAATGCCCAGAGGCCATTCCACAAGAGCTGTTGTGGCCTCTTCTGCCTTCTCCGCTCGCATTCCGCTGCATGGCATTTGTAAGGCAGCCACCTGGACTACCCCTTGCACATTTTCCAAGCATTATCCCTTAGACTTTCGTGCCAGACAGGACTGCTTCTTCGGCCACACAGTCCTCTCTCCAGTTCTTCAGTGATGTCACCGTCCCGCCTCCAGGTCTGGTAAGCTTGCTAATCACCCATATGTGTGATGCACAAAGGCCACAACGAAGAAAGGCAGGTTGCTTACTTGTAACTGTTGTTCTTTGAGTGGCCATCTGTGCATTCACCCACCGGCCCCAATCGGTGTCGGTGACTGGGTTTACTGAACCAGTTTGACTAGGCGATTTCATGTTTTTTTCATACTTACCTCATGTGCCCCTCTAAGAGCACGTTTGATTATGATATGAATGTGTAATGCTTACAGCTGCCACTTGGGGGTGAATGGTTGGTCTTCAGTAGACTGGGGAAATGGTGGGCACTCCACCTTCCCATACTATATGGGGGGAGAGGTGTGGAGTTCCCGCCAAAACCGTTAAGCTTTTGAATCTTCCCAGCTACAGGCACTGCGTAGGCACAGCACCCATATGTGTGATGCACAGATGGCCACTCGAAGAGTGACAGTTACAGGTAAGCAACCTGCCTTACTGTAGAGTAATAGAGTAAGTTAGACATTTTATGTACATAACTCTAGGAAATATACCCAATGAGATTTTTTCGTCTTCTTTCCTTCAGCCAGTACAGTGGTACCTTGGCGCACAAACTTAATCCATTCCAGGACTCTGGTCGTAACCCAAATTGGTTGTGAGCCAAGTTAAATTTCCCCGTAAGGTTCAGTTTAAATAAGGTTAATCCATTCTGTAACTTTTTTTTTTAATCAGAAAAATGTGAAGCAAAGTGACAAAGAACAACAAAGATTGCGGCCATCTCCCACCACCCCCCAGCATGACTGCGATCTCGCCTGTCATCCCTGCACTTACCTGTCATCCTGGCGTGCTGTGGGGGGAGAGATGGCGCGATCGCGGGTGTGCTTGGAGGGGGGGAAACGGGCGCGATCGTGGGCTCGCTGGGGGGAAGAGACGGGCACGAATGTGTGCGCTTGGGCGGAGGGGAGATGGCTGAGATTGTGGTTGCGCTCATGCAGGAAAGACGGGCGCAATCATGGGTGTGCTTATTCAGGAAAGATGGGCACGATCTCGGCTATCTCCTCCCTGCCCCCAGCATGATTGCGGCCATCTTCCCACACGGGGAGGTGGGAAGATGGCTGCGATTGCGGTCACCACCCAATGGGAAGTTCACATTCTGAGTCAAAATTTTTATGAAATTTATGTTCGCGACCTGAACTGAGGCATTCGTGAGCCGAGGTACCACTGTATGCTATTTAAACCTTGCTGCTTTTGAAACCTTTCTGTTTTAAAGAAATCCTACTCTGTTCCATGATTAGGGATGGGTTTGACTCTACTGTTTGGGAAACACTGGCCCAAAGGCCTGTCTCATTTATGGTTGTGGATTCTGTTGATCCTCTGTTCTATAGCCTGGATTGCAGGGTTGATGTATGTGTCAGATCCTTAGCAGGGAACAGAATTTAATGGAAGGAAGAGATCAGTACTTTTGAAAGCCCTGGAAAAGACCTGGAGGCAACCCTCTGGATCTTCTGAAGAACTGAGTCCTGAGAAAGTTGAAACCTTTTTGTTCCTGAGATCTCTTTCTGAACTGTTAATTCTGGAGCATCTTCTTCACAGTATAAGAAGTTAGGACACAGTGGGATGAGGTTTTGGGATCCTAGCCAAGTTAACATCCCATGGGCTTGCAGAATTAATTGTGTGGCCTTTTGGATCATGGTGAATATGTTTTTTATTTAGACTAGCTGGAAGTATATTTTTATATACAACTGGAATATAAGACATATGTCTGAAAAATATTGCTGTGAATATTTGAAGCGTTGTAATATTAAAGTCATATCAATTTTGTGTTTCACATAATACAGGTTCCATTAACAATTGATCCTTTAGAAGTACCAGTTTCATCTTCAAATCTAACCAAAGGTTTAGAAGCAACAGTTGATGATAGTGATGATGAAAAACTGGGCTTAAGTGAATCGAAGGAAGATCTTCAACAAACACTTTCAAGTCTAGAATTTAAACTTAAAGCAGCTGATGAAGAAAAATGTAGAATAAAAAAGGTATAGCTACAGCACTGCAAAATCATCGGTCAAAATGCATGGATACTTCTATTATGGTTATTGCTGGCAACATCAGCTATAGTTAGGGTTGTCTAACACTTTCCAGTCCAAGATCCTGTCTTCAGTCGCTCTTAGCCTTGCCAGACCCTAACCATTTTGGTTTATTTCCATGCTGTGTGGCTGATTCTGTTTGACTTTTTTGGAAAGTTTCAGGAAAATAGCCTGAGTGCTTTCGGAGAATAAGGTGGAAAAATGTTGTTTTGCTGATGTTCTAGGACAACCTTGTGCCCTCCAGATGTTTTGGACTACAACTCCCTGGATTTCTGATGCATTGGAATAGTCATTGTCAAAACTTCTGAAAGGGAAGACTGTCCTGTCCAGTCTTTGTATCTGTGTCCATAGGAGTTAAATAGTTAAAACTGTTACTACGGTTGAACATACCCTAAGGGTTGGCTAATGCTTTTATCAAACCTGTAATATTTTGCAGAGAACCTGCCTAGAACTGAAAAAAGACACAGTGCTGCATTAATGTTTATTTTCTTTTTCTTTTTTCTTTAGGAGTTGGAAGGTCTGATGGAAAAACACAGGATTCTGGAAACAGATTTCCTGAAGGACAAGGAAGCTACATTGATTTCACACCAGGACCAATACAATAAGCTCATGGTATCTTATCTGCTTATTTGCTGTGGCTAAATGTTTGATCCTATGTATGTGAATGTGTGTGGGTTGTGTGTAATTCCTTTCTTAGTAACTTCTAAGCCTAAAAGATATATATGTATTTAAAAACCAATCAAGGCTTTAAAAAGATATTATTAGTAGACTTCCTTTAGTCACTGAAAGTTATAATTATTTAAACAATAGTATGTCCGAAGAACAACAAGTCTTTAATAATTTCCTTCATCTCATTGCAGAATTGGGGAATTTCATGGGGTAAGGAAACAGTTTCTAGGAGAATACAATTTCCATAAGCATGTGAGCCTTGTAAACTTCTTTCCCTATGTGTTTTCAATGCTTTATAATTTTTTTAATCCAACTGGTCAGCTAAATTGTTCTTCTCAAGATGCTTCCAGAAACCATCCTGCTAGAGCATAATTTAAATGTCTGTGTCCTCTTTCTTTTTTCTTTTTCAATTTAAGATTTTGGCCATGCTGAATGCTGATGTCATGAGTTCAACATCAAGTTGGCTTTCTTTTTTCTCCTATAACCCTGCTTTTTATGACATCTTACCTGATAAAGATATCTGAAGATTTCAAAATTATACATTTTTGGTGTCCTTTTGAGTTGACTTAATAAAAGTATTACCCTATAATATGGTTTTTAGAATTAATAACTTTTTTTCATTTGCACTGTGGTCTTTCTTGAAATAGACTTGAATGGAAGCGCAATTTATTTGTCAAAGACTACCTTCAGATTTGACTATAACAAATAGTCTTTGTAAGTCCAGAATGATTTGGACTTTGTGCCTTTAATCCTGTAATGATAGCCATTTTGACGTAAGAAGTATTTTATATTGGTTGAATAGGCTCAATTTCTGTTTTCTAATGTGCACCATATTAGCCATATTCTGATTACTTACATTAATAATGTTATTAATTGGATAATTAAGATCTCTTCTGTGGTTTCTCCTGTATAGAATTTTAGATTTTAATCTCCCCAGCACAGGGACTTAAACCCTGAAAAATGCTATACTGATGGTACACATTGCCACCCAGTTGTCTTTCCTCCTTTCTGTAAAATATTCAGTTAATATAGTCAGTTCTGGTAACAGGTGTATTCATACTTGTCTTTGTCCTCTTGTCAGTTTTTGTAAATTTCAGGAATATAAGAAAGAAGTTAAGGGATCTGTAACTGTTTTTGGTGATCTGCTCTATATAATTATGCAATGAAGCCTAAAATTGTGCATTTTAGGGTCAAATTGTGAAATTCGCAGCACTTCTGGAATGAGCAATACTACTTTTTTCATTCTAACCCCAGTTAGTAGTGCTTCCTGGGAAGCAGGCAAGTGAGAAATAAATAGTTCCACATTAAAGGGTTGTGCTTGCTCTAACCATATACCTTAAGTGAAACATACTACAGTACTGAAGCTAAAATCTGGCCATCATGTGTGCTCTTAATAGGCTTGATGAAAGAAAAGAATAATGTCTGGTAAGGGTTCCACTCTAAATTCTGAACAATGTATGTTAATCTGAGGGTCTAGGATTGCTGGTGCTTTGGTTCAAGGGGCCTGGAGTGATCTTTTTGACGTGCAGGAGCCACTGCTGCCTCCTGTCTGGTAATAACTGAGCATGCACATTGTGACTTTTATGCATATTATCTATGTGGATCTATTGTTTGTATTTGCTTAATTCTGTCCTGCCTTAAGTATCACCCTGCCGTTTTTCTAAATAATCTTTTATGTTTTTCTTGAAGTATGAATTAACAGTGTAAAAAATTAAAACTCATTTTAGAGCGGGAGCAGATGTGAGGGTAGATTTGCCCCAGGAAATGTTGAGTTCATGCTGCATATCTATGGCGAGTTTGAAGTTTTTAAGTCTTCGTTAATGGTTTACTCAAATATCATGGTTTTAATGCTCTGCTAATATCATGAACTTCTTTTCCATTATCTTCAGGATATAGCTTGAGTCCAGATGTAGAAGTGAGTCATGTTAGTCGGAGCTGTTATACAGTTTTCTTCATGTAACTAGAACATTGGATACCTTCTGTTAGTACAGCTTTTGGTGCCAATTTGGTTTTGTCTTCCATGTTTGCTTCTTATTGTACTATAGCCAGCACCTGTGGCCACACACCAAGTAAACTTGGTAACTGAAAAGCGCAGCTGTCCAGCTTGCCAGCAGTTTTCTTCCAGCAGAAACAGCTGGCTATTAGGCTCTTGATGTGAATAGCTAAAAAAGAAGCAGAATGAATTGGTGACTAAGTAAGTCTTGGGAACTTTCCGGATAAGTCTGTAGGTGGGCCAGTTCTCTCTTCCCAATGAGCTCTCTGCATTAGTTGCTTCTAATAAAAATAGCAAAACATCTTGCAACACCTTTAGGAGACTTCACCCATTACTTCTGCTGTAAGCTTTTGTGGTCTAGAGCATGCTTGATGACATGTATGAAATCATGTCCTGAGTAGGTAGGTAGTGAGGTTGGTACTAAGGGATGTGTTTGTGTATGTGTATGTAGCGGAGGGGGGAAGAGAACAAAATGTATGTAAGTAATATGGCAAAAAGGTGTTAAATGCAGCACATTTAACTGCATTTTCATGTCCAGTTTCATATATAAAGCATGAAATCCTGGTGTGCACACTAGCCAATCAAGCACTCCAGGGTGTAAGGTGGAAAAAACTTTTTTTCTGCAGAAGAAAGGTTGCCATGCACAAAGTAGGCAAAATGGAGCTCCAAGGAAAAAACATCTTCCTTTTTATCACATTTTACAGGAAGAGAAACGGGCTGGCATAGTCTTGTCTTTCGAGGTCACAAAACCGTCTCCTTCCTAAACCCATTTATGGGCACATCCGGGGGAAACTCTGCTTTGTCCTTCAGCTCCTTCCTTTGGAGCTTTGGGCCTTTTAGCCCAATAGCCCTATTTTACTTTGTTACACTTTTGTACACATTGCTCGTATCACTGAATTGGGTGGAAACATATTTTTAAAGTTCACTAGAATTGCTGGTAAACATTGATTACAGCAGCAGGTCATGGAGCACAGTAAACCAACATCTATTAGAGTTATAAAAAGGCATTTGAGCCAATTAAGATCCGGCAGCCAGGAGGTTACCCAGTCCCAAAGATTCCCGTTGTTGTTTGGTGGAATATAGGCCACCTGTCTTAATTTTTGACTGCATGGTTTATGCTTTGATTGTAGTTATCAGATATCTACACACAACACTCTTGCCCTATCAGAATGTATATGCTCCCTTTGAAGCCCAGATCATATATAAGGCCATTCTTCATTGTGGCCTCTGTGTATAACACACATGGGTGCTGCACCTGCGCAGTGCCTATAGCCAGGAAGATTCAAAAGCTTAATGGTTTTGGTGGGAACTTTGTGCCCCTCCCCCCCATAGTATAAAAAGGTAGAGTGCCTGCCATTTCCCCAGTCTTCTTGTGACCACCGTTTGCTGTGCATCAAACCTTTTGTCTCTTGCCGTAGATATACTTGCTGCTGTTCCAAAGCCTTCTACTGTTCTCTTTTTCTCTCGTTAGATCCCTTGTTAAGATCTCCTTTCCAGGTTACATTACTTCTCCTCCCCCATTTAGAAGTTCTTTCTAAAACTTCTTTTCACCTCCCCCCCAAAAAATATACCCCCCCCAAATCCTTCTATCATTAGTCTTTTTTCCTGTACTTTGCTATTTTCTCTCAATGGCTCAGCATGTAGCTTTCCTCAAGTGTTCCGAGTGCAGGGGCAAGATGTCCCCCACTGATCCACATGATCTGTGCCTTCTTTATTTGGGAGAAGGTCACAGAATTGATAAGTGTGGCCATTGTCAGGCCTTTACTAAGCAGGCTCGCAAGAACTGCAAAAACTGCCTGCGTAAGATGTTATGGGACCAGGTTCTAGCTGCCTCCGACCATCTCGCAGCCCAGCCCTCTTCACAGCCCTCTCCCTCGGCTGTGCTTCCTTCTCACCCATCGGCTGATTGGACTCCTCTTCCTGTCCTCCATTCCAGTACGACTCGGATTCAGAGGACTCGGACGCAGCATCGATTTCACCAGACATTATGATAACGACGCAAGGCCCAAGGAGCCCAAGGAGTCATACTCTACATTTGGGAAACTGATGGTGTGATTGGGTAGGTCACTGGAGATCGAGGCCCAGCACCACTTCAATCCCAGTACTGACAACATCCACAATATTGTTAAGAAGGAACAGTCTGCTGCCATCGTCCTCCCGCTGATTATAACGCTATGTCAGGCCATGACTGAATCCTGGCGGTTCCCCAACCAGCCAAAAACTGAATTCATGGCGATATTACTCAATGTACAGGGTACGGAAACAAGACATCCCGTTCCTCCTGTGTCATTCCAAGCTTAACTCTATCGTTGGGCTGCTAGACCAGGGAGTACTCCACTCTCCAAGACAAGGAAGGGTAAAAAGTTGACATGGTGGCTCGCTGTATCTACCCCGCCACAGATCTTGGCCTCCCTATCTCCAACTATGAGGCAACGCTGGTGAGATATCAATACTTTTTGATGCAGAAGTTGGAGAACATCACGGCTTTGCTTCCGGAGCAGCAGAGGGACCTGGCTTGTGTGTTTACTTGAGAGGCAATGCAGGTGGCCATCCAACAACTCTCTATGGTGAGGCATCATGTTGACTGTGACTTGAGGGCCCTTCTTGGTGCTGTAGCCCTCCGTTGCCACCCCTGGCTCAGGAACTACAACTTTCTGGACGAGACCAAGCGGAGGATTGAGAACATGCCCTTTGACGGCTCTGGGCAGTTCAACACAGAGAAGGACTACAAGTTGAAGAATATCCATGAGGCTTGCTTCACCGCTCGACATATGGAAGTTCCTGCCCGGAGTTGACATAAGTGCTTCTGGTCTTGTCCACAGTAACGGTATCAACCATACCCGCAATACTCCAGCCGGCAGCAGTTCCAGACCCGTCACCATCACAATCGCAAACAGCCGGTGCCACGCTATCAACAGGGTTGTTGCCGCCCCGACTCCGATAAGCGGCAACGTTGACAGGTCAAGCGAACCTCTCCTCTCCTAAACCCACTCTCTCCCTTTTGCGGATCGACTGCAGAATCGACTCCCCATTTGGGACTCCATCACATCTGATTGATGGATTTTGTCCATCGTTGAGCATGGATATAAAATCAAGTTTGATACTGTACCCCCTTCGAGATCAATCTGATATATGCTTCCTTCTTTGGTCGTCAAAGACAGTTTCCCAGCCGCTTTGTAAAGGACTGGTTTGACAACTCACGCACTCCGAGGGGCTTCACAGTTTCTACTTGAGATATTTTATGGTCCTGAAACGGGACGGTGGTCTTGCGCCTAATATTGGATCTACGTGGCATCAACAAGTTCATCAAGACGAAAACAGTTTGAATGACCACCTTTCAAAATGTCCTTCCGTTGCTCAGGAGAGAGGATTGGTTCGCATCTCTGGACTTGAAGGATGCTTACTTCCACATCAGCATCCATCCATCTCACAGGCGACTGCTCCGCTTTACAGTCGGCTCCGATATTTTTGAGTATAATGTTCTCCCCTTCAGGCTTGCTACTGTACCAAGGGTCTTCATGAAATGCATAGCTCCTGTCTGCGCCCACCTGAGACTGCAAGGAATTCGTATTTACCTTTACCTTGATGACTGGTTGATCGTCTCCTCTTCTAGAGAAGGCCTTCTATTGGCTATTTGTACAACATTCTCCCTCCTTGATGAGCTCAGACTTTGTATTAACCATGAAAAATCCTGCCTTGTTTCTTTTCAGATCATTAACTTTATCGGAGCCCGCCTCAATTCTCTATGTGCATGAGCTTTTCTTCCTTGGTATCATCAGGAGAAGAAGCTTTGCTTGTCCATCCGTCGAATCCACATGGACAGAACTGTACCTGGTCTGTCTATACAGAAGCTGCTGGGTCTTATAGCTTCCATGGTCTCCGTGGTCCCCAACGCTAGACTGTGGATGAGACCGCTGCAGTGAATGCTGGGTGACTCTCCACATTGTCTGCTTTACCTGCCTACCTTCATCCTTTGGACTTTGTCATGGTGGACGGTAAAGGGCAATCTATTCATCAGAACTTTGTTCCACTTAGCTGAACCAACATTGACTCTGCACAGATGCCTCCCTCACGGGATGGGGAACTCTCTGTGCCGGTCTTCACACTCAAGACACCTGGCAGGGCCATGAAACATCCAGGCATATCAATTACCTAGAACTCTTTGCAGTGTTCAAAGCCCTTCGGTCCTTCAAGAATGCCCTTCAGGATCAAGTCATTCAGATAGCATCGGACAATATAGTCACGGTCTTCTATATAAACAGGGCAGCACGAAGTCCGCCCCCCCAGCTCATTTCGCTCTCCGCCTTTGGGACTGGTGCATCCCGAGGGGAATAATTCCTCTTGCTGTTCACCTCATCGATACCGACAATGAGGAAGCGAATGCTCTCAGTAGACGTATGTAACAACTCACGAGTGGGAGTTGGATCGCCAAGTCTGTCATCTATTTCAACTATGGGGCCCTCCGGACACGGACCTTTTTGCCTCACAGAACAATTCGGTCTGCAATTCAGAACTCATTCAAGGACGCGCTAATGGTTCCATGGACAGACAGATTTTTCTCTGCGTTTCCCACAATACTGCTTATTACAAGGACTGTAGCCAAAATCAATCAGGACGATGCTCGAAGGATCTTTGTCACTCCTTCAGGGTATCATCAGCCATGGTTCCCCACCATCCTTTGTCTCTCCAACAACAGTTTTCAGCGGCTTCCTCGGATTCCACATCTTCCACAAGAGGGTGTGGTTCAGCATCCAGACCTTCATTCCTTGAATGCGACAGCCTGGCTCATTCGATGAACTCTGCTACTTCATCGACACCGACAGCTTTGTCGGATTTGACGCCGACCCAGTGGCCCCCTGCCATGGCTGTATCTTTGACTTTGACAGCACGAAATGACACTTCACTGATTCCGAGCGCTCTCTATCCCAATATACAGTTCATTCTTCAATCTGTACCAAGACCTCCTACTTGCCATTCTTATGCGGCTGAATGGAGGTGCTTTACTTTGTTTTTGATATTAACCACTTCACCTCTCAATCAGCTTCCATTGAAAACATTCCGCAATTTCTTCTGTTTCTACATCAGACTGGACTGAAATCTTTTTCCATTAAGGTCTGCATTGCAGCTATTTCGCATTACCATGTCCCAGTATTGAGTTCGTCGGTGTTTTCCAGTGTCCTCATTTGGCACTTCTTAAGAGGATTATAGAATCTCCAGCCACCAGTTTGATCATTCATACTGACATGGAGCCTTTCTATCGTTCTACAAACATAAACACAGAAACAGAACGAGTCAGAAGGGGTGTCCTGGGCCATCTAGTCTGCCCCCCGGCTCCAGCTGGCTCCACTCAAGACATGCCCACCATGGGCATGTCTAAACTATCTTTGAACACCCTCACCGATGGGGCCTCAACGACCTCCTGTGGAAGCCTATTCCATACCCTCGGGGTCCTAACTGTCAGGAAGTGCTTCCTGGCATCTAAATGGAATCTTGGTTCCCTGAGCTTCGCTCCATTGGAGTGTGTCCTGCCTTCCTCTGCAGGGGAGAACAGGTCTCTACCCATCTCCATGTTACATCCCCTCACATACCTGTATGTCACCAACATATCCCCTCTGAGTCTCCTCCAGGCTGAAGAGACCCAGTTCCCTCAATCTCGCCTCATACAGCATCCCCTGCAAACCAGCCACCAACCTTGTGGCCCGACGCCGCACTGACTCTAACCTGGGTATAGAGTCCTGTAACGAGGGGTCCAAAACTGAGCACAATACTCCAGTTGCGGGCACACCAGAGTTGTATAGAGTGATAGTAATGCCTCTCTTGATCTAGAAGCCACACTTCTGGCTATGCAACCAAGAAAGACGTTCACCCTCTTGACCACCACATCACACTGCTGACTCATGTTTAACTTGCAGTCAACCAGCACCCCGAGATCCTTTTCACAAGTGTTGCTCTCCAGCCATTTGTCCCCTAACCTGTACCTATGACACCTGTACCTATGCCCCAAGTGCAAGACCTTGCACTTAACCACATTGAACGCCATCCTGTTGTCTCCTGCCCACTTTCATAGTCATAGATCCTTTTGGATCTAGAGTACCTGCTCCTCAGTTGTGGTCACTGTCCCAGTTTTAGTATCATCTGCCAATTTGATCAGCAGACTGTTCACCCCTTCTTCCATGTCATTTATGAAAAGTTTAAACAGCATTGGCCCCAGGACAGAGCCCTGGGGGAACCCGCATGTCACTGGCCGCCATCCCGATGATTCCCCACCAATTGTTACCCTCTGCTTTCAGTCAGTCAACCATGCCCTAATCCACTGGACAGTGCTTTGATGTATTCCAAAACTCCTCAGTTTCTCCACCAGGATATCATGGGGCACTTTGTCAAAGGCCTTGCTGAAATCCAAGTAAACCACATCCACTGCATCCGCTCCATCCATCCATCTCGAAACCTTGTCGTAGAATTCCACAAGGTTTGTCTGGCAGGACCTGTTTTTGCGAAAGCCGTGTTTTGTGGCCGCCAGCTTCCCTTCCCTATCTAGCATCGCGAGAACTCTCTCTATTATGAGTCTTTCCACTGTTTTTCCTACAATAGACGTAAGGCTAACAGGTCTGTATTTCCCCATGTCCCTTCTACTACCCTTTTTGAAAATTGGGACCACTGATGTCACCCTCCAGTCCTCTGGAACTTCACCTGTTCACCACGAGGCCTCAAAAATGGAGGCCAGCAGGTGTGAGAGAACCCCTGCCAACTCTCTAAGTACTCTCGGGTGTAACCCATCAGGGGCTGGTGCCTTTGTAATGTCCAATGCCCTGAGGAGCCCTTCAACTTCTAGGGGGTTGACTCTAATCTGTACCCCTAAGTCCCCAGCCTCATCTAATCTCCTATGTGGATCCCCCCGTCCTGCTTTGGGGAGAACACAGAGGCAAAATAGTCATTTAGCATCTGCGCCTTTTCCCTTGGATCAGTCAGTGGATCTCTTTCCTCCTTATTTAGTGGTCCCACCACGTGTCTCCCCTTCCTCTTCCTATTTACATGCTGAAAGAAGCCCTTTTTGTTGCGCTTGATATTCTTTGCAAGTCTCAGCTCGTATTCAGCCTTAGCCTTGCGAAGAATCCTTCTGCAACGGGCCTCCTCCTTCCGGTATACCCTTTTGTCTATTTGCCCCAGTACCCATTTCCTATGGAGGTTCCTCTTTCGTCTAATCCTTTCACTACCATGTCGGCACTCTCCTTCGCCTCCCCGCCCTGCTAACTAGAGGGATTGTCAAGGCTTGTGTCTCCAAAACCTCCTTTTTGAGTGCCATCCAGCCCTCCTCAACTTGCTTGCCTTCCAGCAACCTTTCCCAGCAGACTTTCCCCAGTCTGGCCTTCAGTTGGCCAAAGTTGGCCCTCTTGAAGTCCCAGCTTCTAGTGCTTGACCTGCTGCCTGTCCGCAGTCGCCTAATCTCAAAGCAAAGGATGTAGTGATCACTCGCATCCAGAGCTCCCCTAATCTGTACTTCATCTATCAGCTCCTCCCTATTGGTCAAGACCAAGTCAAGGAAGTTTCCTCCCCTCGTCGCCTCTCGGACCCTCTGTGTGAAAAATGCTCCCTCAATAGCTTCTAGGAAGCGACGTGACCTTGCTGTCACCGCTGAGTGAGTCTCCCAAGTAATATCCGGGAGATTGAAATCTCCCATAATTACTGTGTCCCTCCCCTGAGATATCCTTAGAATCTGATCTGTCAGGACATCATCCAGGGTCTCAAGTTGACCTGGAAGGTGATAACATACCCCCACTGTCAGATCCCTTTCCCTGTCAAAATCCCTAAGTTTCACCCAGACTGCCTCTACCAAATCCCCATCTGTGCTGCATTCTATCTCACTGCATCCTATCCCTTCCCTGACATATAAAGCCATGCCCCCACCCCTCTTTCCCTTCCTGTCCTTTCTAAAAAGGTGATACTCCTCTATGTTCACATTCCAATCTTGCGTTTCAGCCCACCAAGTTTCTGTGATCTCCTCCAGGTCATACCCTCCCATTTCCAGGAGAGCTGCAAGCTCTTCCTGCTTATTACCCATGCTCCTAGCATTGGTGTACATGCACCTCAACTCCTTCCCACTGCTTCCCTTCCTTGGAATTCCCAGCCTCCTCCTTCCTCCCATCCTCCCTGATACCTGGCCCCTCTCTGTAGGAGTCCTGTCAGTCCCTGCAGTATCTCTAAAACCCTGCTCCCAGAGCCCTGATCCTCCCCCCACACTTGTCCAGTGAAAACATGTTACTGGGGGGCCTGAACCCAACCCCCCCGGCTCAGTTTAAAGTCTTCCAGACGCAGCTCACTAGAGCATTTTCACTTTGTCAGATACACTCCATCTCCAGGTTTGAAAGGATGAACAATCCTCATCTAAGTTAGGCAGCTGTTTCAACTGAGTGAACCTGTGAAGAGAACAGACTACCAAGAGATCAGATATTCTTTTTAATTGTACATCTCCATACAAAACACTTTACCAGCTCCCATCCCCACATCTGCTTCCAGCCAACACCCAGAGGAGGGCTGACCAAATATGGTATCAAAAGGTGATAACCCAGTTTTCTTCCTAGAGGCAACTTGCTATTATAAAAGAGCAAGTGGCAAAGCTTCAGACCACCTGAGCTTGGTTTAGTCCCAGTTTTAGTTAGGGTCTGCTTCAGTTCTATCAATCAGTAACAGTGCATCACCAGTTTTCTTCTTCCTTCCAGCGGGTGACTTGAGCCATCCACAGACAGCTCCAAATCAGGATTAATAAATTCTGTCAGTTCCAGGTCTTTGCTCTACACCAGTCCTTCAGGTCAACTCAGGTTGCACAGGTTTGACCGTCTACTTGGAGGCATTTTTGCATTTGTGTTCTAACTCAGGCTCAGGATTGGTAGGTATAAGGGTAGTGGGGTTCAGAACATTACATGTAGCAAGAGATAATTAAGGTGTTTTGAGCAATAAGGCTTGGTACTGAGCTAGCCAGCCCTGAGTCTTCCATAGTCCCCTTTTTTGCATAAGGAGCTTACACCACTAGGGGTTGGGCTAGTGTCCCCTTAAGGGCCTCCTTGACCAGCAGTCATGTTGCTGCAGTAATGCTCAGGCAGGCTGGACATCCCAGGACCACTGTATCCAGCTGCTTTGAAACATAGTCCATAGTTCACGAGCTGCTGAAGGGTTGAGCTGAAATGCCTGATACTACACCTTTCCACTTGTGCACATAGAGGCAATATTGCTTGTTCATGTCTGGGAGTCCTACAGCTGGTACTTGCATCAAGGTTCTCTTCAAGGTGCTGAGACTTCTATCACAGTCTCCAGTCCCCTCTAAGGATCAGAATCCTTCCTTTAACTTCTTCATATAGGGGTTTCACAGTTTCCCTAAACTCGGGGATCTATAGCCTGCAAAAGCCAGCCATGTTGAAAAGGCTGTGTATCTACTTCCTAGTAGCTGAAACAGCCAAGCAGCTAATGGCTTCCTTCCATCTGGCAGAATCTCTTTTTTTCCTTTGGGAGTTGATGAATCCCAGATACCTGAGTCTGAGTCTTCCCTCCTGCCCCAACCATTTTCAGCCTCTCTCTATTCTTTCACCCAGTTTAATTTCTGAGCACAGAATATGTGCCACCTGTGTCCAACAAAAACTTCACTCTTTCCCCGACCCATGCTTCAACCAGGGGTTCAAGCAGGGACATCACCTTAAGCCAGCCCCTTATTGTGCATCAATCACTCTTTTCTTCAATTTCTTTTCCTACCATTTGGGGTGCCTGCTCCAGCCTGGTCCCCATTCTTTGCCTGAGACACTCTTCCTTCCAGTATCCCTTCCTCTTACAGTAGGCACATTGATCTTTTTCCAGCTCAGCAGCAGCCAGTCCAGACCTGGGGTGTTAGCTTTGGTCTCCCTCTTCCCTCTTTTACATTCTTCACCAAACAATCCTCCAGTTGCTGAAGATATCACCATTGCTTGTGCCTTTTGTCTCTTCTCTTTCCTTTCTTCAAACTTCTCTTTTTCCTTCTCTCAATTTATCTACACTTTATATGCAGTCTCTTTCAATTCTGATATTGAAGGTACTCCTTCAATTTTCTGCAATATCCTATGATTGTCCTCACTGCGATGACCAACAATAGGCTATTTTCACCAGCTTCAGGCTTCAGGTCAGTGTCTCTGCACATAGCTTGAATCATTTTTTTCATAAATTTAGAGGGAGACTCAGAGGAGGTTTGATGCACCTCATAGAGCTTAGAAAATTTCCAAACTTGTGACACCCCATCTCTCAAGGCTTGTACCAAAAGATGCTGGTAAGTTAGCAGACTATTCTTGTCCCTGCCACTGCCTGCATCCCAGTAGGGGTCCCTGGTTGTTAAGAATACCCGCTCTGGCATTCCAGTCCATAGATTCTGCTGTAAGTGTGTTTTTGCCAATTCCAGGTCTTTGCTCTACACCAATCCTTTCTCCTCTGAGGTCAGAAAAACATCCAGCATACTCTGGCAATCTGCCCAGGTTGGGTCATGCATCAAAAAGAGAGATTGAAAAAGCTCCTCCAATCCATAGGGATCACCCCCGCCCCCTTGGGGCATGGTTCTTCCAATTATATAACTCAAAGGCTCATGGAACTGTGCAAAATTTCCTAAACTATCACAAGCAACTTGCTGGGGAGCCTGAAATACAGGAGTATTGTTCTGAACTTGTTCTCCTGAACAGTGGGGGCTTTCAACACCCTCGGGTCCTACAGGATCCCTTCTTACAGATGTGCTGGTAAGGGGTGGTGGCCAAAGACTCCCTCCCCCCATGCTTCCCTGTTGGCTCACATCAGGTGGGCCTGAAGGACTCATGGCTCCCTCTGAAATTAAATGTGCAGCCTGCCATGCCGAAGCCTCTTGTGGGGGGTTGTACAAAGGCTGCATACAGAGTTCATCCTCAGGCAGGACCTTGAGGATCTTCTTGCCCTTACTTTCCAGTACCAAACACCAAGACAATTCACAAGGTTTGTGCCACTTTGGTTTTTGAGACAAAGCCATAAGCAATCCAGTGTATTCATGTTCCCATTTGTTTACAAAATAACAATTGCAATATGGCATTATGCTTAATACTCCCCCTGAAGGCCCCCCCCCCCCCCCTTTGAGCTCTCCTTTGTCAAGTATCCCCCTGCTCCTTTCAAATCATGAAAGTGAGCCGGAACACACTGCAAGGTGTTTTCCCTTTTTTCATGATCTGGAGCCCATCCCTGCTCAGCATGTAACCTGTATCTAGCACCTTATGGTTTCTCAAGCCTTATGGGAGTCTCCCTTATGGATCCCAGAAATGAATTAAATAAAACTGCTGATAGGAGAAGAGGTACTCACCAAATTGATGGCCTGTCCCCGAAACCCCAGCCTCATACTCAAAATGGCATTGCACTCAGCGGGTCACCAATCCTTTGTCAGCCAAGGAATTTCCACTTTTAGGAAAAGCAGGTTCTGTGCCATCCAGGAGTCTGTTGTTGGTCATTCCAGGATCACCACCGGCTGTAACCCAGATGAGGCAGCCCCACTTTGGGCACCACAATTGTTGTCCACAAACGTGAGGTTTGGTCCTGGTGTGCATAATACCCAATTGAGCACTCCAGTGTGTGAGGTAGAAAAAACTATATTCTGCAGAAGAAAGGTTTCCATGGACAAAGTAGGCAAAGAGAAGCCCTGAGAGGAAAAAACCCTTCCCTTTTTATCAGATTTTACAGGAATATAAACAGGCACTGGCACAGTCTTGTCTTTCAGTGTCACAGAACTGCTTCCTTCCTAAACTCAGTTATGGGCACATCTGGAGATAACTCGAAACTGTCCTTCAGTGTCTTCCATTTGTTCTGTACTACAGCTTGTAGTTCTGCATGAGCAATGGCTAGGGGTCCTAGGATTTGCACACTAAATTATCTGGGTTGAGGAAGGCTGGTAGGCAAGATAAAATCAGGGACCACTATTGTGAGATTAGTTTTTACTGAGCCTTTTCTCAGAGGTGAGAACTCTGTATTAATGGACTTGAGGTAAATCAGCTAATCATTCCCACAAATGTGGAACTTACAGAGAGAAAGATGAGGAAAATTACTTGCCTTAACTGTTTCCTCTGCAAATGTTTATTATGGTCTGCCTACCTCCCCACAATGACCATTGGAAAATTTCAATTATTCAAATGTTCCCAACGTGGCCATATTTAGAATATAAGTAGGATCATGTTCTCACAAAACAACACAATTTATGTGGCTTGGACTTTGATTTTAGACATAGTTGCATTTTTCAAAAATAAAATAAATTTGGCAGCCTTTATCTATTCTTTTGAATTAGACTCAAACCCTGGATTTGATTTGGAAACACTTAAAATGTTTCTTTATGTTCCTTCTACCCCTCCTTTCTTGCATATTTTAAAGCTAGATGAATTCTTCCAGCTACAGTTCACAAAATCCCAGCTGTGGTCAGAAGACAAGGGGAAACATGATTCATTTAAGTATCATCTCTGTTGACATTTAGGATAAAAAATGGCTCTGGTTTTCCTTATTTAGAACAATTCCATGCATTCAAGAGTTACTGCCTGGTAAACTATTGTAGTAAGAGTCAAGGATACATAAGGAGGTTAGTTACTCAAAGGAGCTCAGGAACAACCTGACCTGTAAATCATTTATCTGCCCCAAATCATTCTTGCATTGTAATCAGTGCAAACTAAGTATTGATTCCTGATATAATGGCTAATAAAAGAACAGGGCTTTGCCAAGAAAAGGGTTGAAATATTCTGCTCAGCATTGTACGTTAGGGATTCAGTACCTTTTTAGAGTTAACTATTCAAAGTAGCTTGTTTTGCTCATTGGTTTAGACTGTGATAACAAAAAAAATAGGCAATGGCTTCCCATGACTTTTTCTTAATTTGTGGTATGGAATAATTTTTTGAATGGTAGGTTTACACTCTGCCTGATATGAGGGGTTAAATTTGATAATCCAAAATGGAAATCCCAAATACCATTCTACACACATTTACCATGTTCTTTGCCATGCTCCAACATTGAGGTGGCTGTTAAGGCAGAGTGGGTTGCCCTCACAAATGTGTGAGTTAATAGCAATCAAGTAATTTAGAATTGTTGGTCATCTGAATTTCTCTATTATTCATTGATTGAATTTAAATTCATGTTTATGTTACCAAAACATCAACATTGCTATCATTCTGAGATACTAAAGGAAGTATATATGGATAGTCCCCAAGTTATGAATGTCTGGATTACAAACAACTCATATTTACTAATGTGTTGGACTGCCATAAACCCTATATGAATATCTCTAGGGAATTAGGGAACATGTTTTGGGACACATGAACAGTGGAGTTTTCTGGAGACAGCCATGGCTTTCACTAGGAAACTACATGATGTGTATGATGAAGCTTCTCTTTGTGGCTGCATAGTTACCTAGAGATATAGAAGTCATGGTTTTTCATTCTGCATTATTGGCTCGAGCTTACCCAAGCATTTCAGGGCATGTGTACAGCGTGTAGTTCTGTGTGGTTTACTGAGGCCCTCAGCCTCATAAAGGTCATTTATGGTGAGAAAAAGTGGCTGTACAAACAACCTTTGAGGCTTACTTCAAGAAAGCAATTGCAGTGGTAACACCCACCCCCACCAGTAGCACAATCAAACCCTGACTCTCCAGCACCACGCCCATTTCCATTGTCACCAGTTAATGTTAGACTTAATGTTACCTCAGGAATGTTCTAAACCATTTTAAGAACTGTTTCTTTTATTTTTTATGTTACTATATACCTATGCACATACACACATACAGATTATCTAAGGTGTGTTTAAGATGTTTTAGTGAATGTAGAAGTGTTTCCTAATTGATTTATATGTATAAAAAGGTAAAATATACACATACTAAGACAAACATTTGGTTTACTCATGTGATCCGACTTACAAATTTGACTTAAGAGCATTTTCTGGAACAGAATTCATTCTTAACCTGAGAACTATCTGTAATTTCATAAATAAAAGCAACCATTTATTATTAGAAGGGTAATCTTTTCTTTACCCCTCTCTCCCCATAGACAATGTCAGATTCAAAATAATGTAATCCATGCAATAGGTATGCCCTTAACTGACAACATTACTGATTTTATTCTCTGGGTGGAAAATTGGTCCCCACTGATTTTTTGTTTATGTATTATGTAAATTGATTATAATTGCAGAAATCTTTGGTAACCTGACAAGTTTTCTTCACTTAAGTAATTACAGTTTACTGCTTCAGAACCAATGAATAAAGTGTTATATAGTAGATCTCTGAACCTAATAGACTAAAAGTCTCCTAAGGTCTTTACTAGATCTGATAGCTAATCTTATTAAATGAAGGTCTGTAACAATCACATTGAGAGTGATTGCTGTCAGAAGATAATTATGCTGTCAGAAGATAATTTTGAGAGTAAAATTGGTGTGCACATGAAGAATGAGAGAGAAGCTGTTGCAGTGACAGGCTGTGTTGAGGTAAACTTTGGTTGCAGGATGGGTTCTGCATTCCTCTCTTATGCTGCCCCAATTACTTGTCAGTCATGTGATTGGAGCAAACCTGCATTGAAAGCCAGAGATCCACTACCATCGTGCCTAGTTTGGCTCTAGACCAGCCTGTAGATTCAGTTCTAACCTGAGTGAAAAACAATTTTTAAAATCAAACTTTAAAATGTAACAATTTTCCTTCACTTAGTACACATGGTTAAGGAAGGATGGAAGTATATCTTGGAGGTAGGTGCTTTCTGTAGCTAAGAGTACTATAAAATGTATGTTTTCTTAAAACTAATATGACTTGTTAAATATCATCTTCTAACAAAATATTTAGGTTGGTGTAAAGTGCAGACACAGAGGAGACAGAACACTAATAATGAGAATAGATGTTTTAAAAGTTACCTACTATACCTGCCCCTAAACCTGATGAAATTCCAGGAACTTTTACAGATCATAGAAGAGTTGAATTATGTTGCACTGAGAACATAACAGAAAACAAATTGAAATGAATACTCTCTTAGTCACTAACTTGCCTTTTTGCTGATTGATTAAACAAATTCGTGCACAGGGCAATAGCCTTCTGCCCACGTCTATTCATCATTATCTGCCTTTGCAATTAATTCATTACTTCTTTCCATATTTCAACCTGTGATTTCTTTTTTATATATCTCAAAACCACAAACTCAATTTGGTAGCTTATGCAGCAGGATATGTATTGAACAAAATAGGTAATAACTAAGAAAGATGAAAAATTACTTTAGATTAGGGTGGACTTCAGCTTCAATTATCCTGTATAAATGGCCATGACAGTTGAAGCTGATGGGAGTTAACAGTCCAACAATACCTGAAGGGCCATGGATTATCCAGCGTGGTTTATGGCAAATCTTTGATTTTTCCACATTTTGCTGTGTTAATCTGAAATTGAAATGAACGTAATTGGCATTGTTACTATTTATTTATTTAAAGCTTTTATATCTCGCTCTTCACAATGTCTCAGAGTGGTAATACAATAAAATAAATTAATAAGATACAGCATACAGATAATTATATATGAAATCAATCTTAAAACACTACAAACATTTAAAATAATGGGAAAATAAAGAGAGTTTGGCCTGGTGCTGAATGAAAAAAGTATCAGTGCCAGGTGTACTTCTGTGGGGATGTGCTTGATGTACTGGGCTACTACTTTGTGTACACAAGATTCTTAACACTGTGAAGGTGCAAACTATTTTATTGTGGTGCAAAAATTAAATAAAAACAAACTGGCACTTACTGTGCTATCCCTGAATATCTTATAGGGCAAAGCATTGCCTCTAAGTCACCTACTATAAGTATTTGAATGGAGTCCACCTGAGGGTAGTTCCAGTGCTGCATGATGTCAGATTAATTTCTTCTGTTTTTGGATGGACACAGTATATTAGGAAACGTCTAAACAAACTACGCCATGAAGGCCAAGGACAATCAAAACAGGC